AGTCCGCACATATCACAGACGCATGTTTTCATTTAAAAGTCCTTAATTCATGATTTAAAAGTGAGAAGTTAACTGTTAATGGATCGAATCCAGCATGTGTTTGCTTTTCTGCACCCTTAACAAAATACTCACGAGTGATATATGGATTTTGTACATTTGTTTATTGTATCTGTCTTTTTCTTTCTCATAGAAGGAGGAATGTATTCCTGACGAATAGAATTTGGTGTGCTAATAGCTCTTTAATAGCTCTAAATGTTCTCACAAGCAATTTTCTTCTTTATTATTTAACTGAATTCCTACAAGATGACTGATATCATGTGGATTGAGATCCTTCTTTGTTACGTTGTCATTAGAGGCTTTACAGACAGTACAAACAGGTAGTTTGGAGTGAATGTGATTGCGGACAGCAAATTGTTTACATTGCAGTTGCAGTTAAGTATTACTGTAAAAAAAGAAAATGTTTTAGCAATGAGAACCATCTTTAATAATAAATACTCAAGAATACTCAGGATTTTTTGTAAAAAATTTTTTACATAAATTATTTGTGATATTTTCTTCAATTAAAATAAAAGTAGTTATATAATAGTTGTTGTTTTTTTGTTGCTAATCTGGAGTCCAACAGCCAGTGGAGGAACATTGATCCTGTCAGAAACAAAGCAGGGCACCATAACAGGAAAAAGACATTTCCCCCAAGCATGTATGTGAAGAACAGGGAGCATTTTACCTCCTATACTGTGGATTTTGTAAGTTTGTAATGTCTATATGCAACTACTTACATATTCATTATTTATATTGTGTAATGTCTCCAGACAGTTGGAAGATGGATGTCTGAAGTTTCGGTGAATTCTTTTGTTTGTTCTTATAATTTTTTTTTTTTTTTTAAACATGCCTAGCTCATGTTTAGCAACATTTACTGTACGCTAAGAGTATACATTTCCTAGTTGTCATAATTGTGTAGTATCATGGTTGCATCCATGTAAGGAAACCAGAAATCCTGTATAGCATTGACTTACACGCTAAGCCCTGTTTACCCAGCGTCTGTGTTTTTTCAGCACTCTCTGCTACACTGAGCTTAATAAACTTTTATCTGTTGAAACATTCCTCACACAAATGTGTTCTCAAACACAGTGTTTTATTGGAAACATAGTGGCATGCTCGAACCTGAAAAAGCATCCGAATGGGCCATTTAAGAACATTATGATGGACAGAGTGAGAGAGAGCAACAAGGTTTCTGCATATATGCTGTGTTAAGAGGCTTATATGTGTATTGTTCTGGGAGAGAAATTCCTACTGTAATGACAAGCATCTTCAAGTGAAGAGGGACAGCTTCTTGGCCAGAGGAGTGTGTTAAGAGTGACTGGTAGCAATGTGTGTTGATTTACTACTTCACACGAGCTCACTGGGTCTGTTGTACAGTAGAATGCCAAATGTGTGTGTTATATTTCTGCCAATCGCTGCAATATTTATTGAGACTCAGAAATATTGCCAGCTGTGAATGATGGAGATATTGATCCAAACTGCAGTAGATTAAGGCCAATTTTTCCCCCTGTAGTTGATTTTCAGGGGTTGATATAAGTTTTTTTTTTTTTTTTTTTTGGAATATAAATACTTCTATTGAATAATTTAAAAGGGCCTTTTTTTCTTCTTTTTTTTTTTTACCTTTTCTTTAGCATGTAATGTACCTGTTTATCCATGTAAACAAGTCCACAGCTAGGAGAGTTCATCTCTTCCTTTCTGAAATGCCTCGTCTGCCATTATTTCTGTTACGTAGCTATGTCACCATGTGACATATTTGCATTACCTGCAATGCCTGCTTTTTTTTTACAACAGTTCAACCACAACCTTTTGTTGTATTCATTTCGGGCAGATTTCTAAGGCAGCATAACGGTTAAATGAACTACAAGAAAATAAACAGAGCTTTGATGATAACTACGTGAAAAGTTAATTACTACTGTACTAATTTTTCACTAGAAATGACATCAAATGTGTAAACTTTTACTCACAAAATTACCACCAACGGCAACTTTTAGATGACATATTTGTGTTTTTAGCTCAGCTGTCACAGAATGGAAAGCAAAAGATGGTGAGGTGTCATAGGCAGCGAAGGACACATCTATGCTGCCTTCAATACATATTTTTTCCTGGCTGGTTTTGACCTTTGGTTTTGACCTGGTTTTAAAAACAGGCAGTTATGACGCCAAAATTTTAGATAACTCTACAAATTCACAATTCTCTATTCCAGTTTTAATACCACAGCTAAAACTACTAGCCTAACTAATATAAATGTAAAACATTACAGACAAGTAACAGTAGTTTCCAGGTAGAGACATGTTTGCAAGGATATTCACAGATGGCCATTTTTGTACACAATTTTTTTGTGAATTTGTACAATCACGCGCAAAAAAGTCATGACAGAGAGCTCAATTCAGTGTTTTCATGCTGTCGGAGACACTGCTTTCTGTGCACGTGCTTCAGATATGTGCACACACAGTGTGCGAGTGACGAAAGTTCCCTTTTGCGTCTTTTTGCGCTTGAATATTTAAATTGGCAATGCTTAAGCTTTCGTGACGATGCAGCACTGGCCTGACAACTATCCCAAGCATTGTTCACATTTGTTTATGTTCATGTTTCCACAACATTGCATTGTTAGAAGAATGTTACCGGCCAACTGCCGATTGACACGGTTTCATTTACTAGCCAACGCAGATCTTTACTCGCTTTCGGCTCTTGCCGAGTGTTAATTTTAGGCCCTGTGTGTAGTGAATGAATTAAATAATTTTTGGGATTTAACATTTTGTTACATTCAAACAAAACAATAATTTAAACAAATCATTTAAATGTATTTTTTTAATTGATATGAACTATTTGTAGACAATTTGGCATTGATGGAATTTATCATTCACATTGTTAAGCTGAAAAATGTTAGGTTGTGTTCAACTTGAAGCTGCGATGCACAGGCCGATCAGTTTATTTCATCAAAGTACCAAGCGATTCGAAAGCATACAGAGCCGACTGCTCTCTTATCGCTCTCGCAGTACTTTGATGTCATACACCAATCGGTCTGCCACTTCAAGTCAAACACATCAAATTAAAGCATGCAAAATAAGAACGATTTTATTAGCGGTCTCAGACTTCTGGACACGAAACACAGAGTCCGTTATTAGCTTTGGACTTAAAGATAAACATTCTTGATTAATGTCCAGGGCCACACACACAATACACTCTGTACTGAAATTATAATTATATCCTGTTCCTATCAGCTTCACAAAGCTGGTCATTTGTTAAGCTAGTACGGAGTGTGGTAATCTCACTGTGGGGAACGACAATTACCATGAAGAAAAGTGGGGCACAACTTCAGCCCACACCAGCTAACAGAAGAAAGCTCACACTCAGTTTTTATACTCATTCATTTAAGTAATACACTTTTCATGTTTCTTAAAGGTTATATGGTGTCTTGTTTGTGTTATGTAAGGTGTACTTTAACACTCAATCATTTGTAGTGCAGATGAAGCCCGGCTGATGCACTCTGTTAGACCGGCTTGTTGGGTCTTGGTGGTTATCTGTCGATCAGGCCTTTTCTCTTGCACGGCGCAAGACGCCAGTATCTGTACATTTCTAATTAGAGGCAGGAAATGTTTATTGGCATTTGATTGGGTGGGCCTTTGCTGTAACTTTGGGCACATTTTAAACAAACTATTTCAGCATCCTGTTTAAATTCGCTTTCATAGCAAAGGGACAGGCAGGGCAGACTGGACCCACAATTACGCAAGATTACAATGCAATCATGATTTCAATTCTAAAAAAATCAGCATATCATTCATATCACCAAAGTGAACCAGTTGGACGAGGCTTTTAATGTCTTAAAATATCACCCACACTTCATTATTGTCTAAATTTGGAGACAAGACACGGGTAGCAAGGAATAGGGTATTAGATTGATTGCATATTAAAGGAAATATTTTCCACACCCCAAATATACACTTCAGGCCTTTTTCAAGTCAAATTTTGTTTTAACCAGAAAATATGCACAAAATGTAATAAAAAAACACTATGAACTCTTTAAAAAAAAAAAAATCAATCAAGTATCATTTTCCATTTTTAGCAACTTTTTTGGAGAAAGATCCAAATTCGGTGGTAAACCGGTTCTTCTCCATGATTTCCATCATTTAGACAAATGAACGATGATTATGAGTATGTTTGTCCACAGTTCAGCATATTTCATGAGCCAATCTGTATGTCTGCTGACTAGGACACGAGTCACATAGCTGGACTCGCAGTATGTGTGGGTTTGATATACATCTTGATTCTTTGAAATGATGTGCATGACCCACTGAGGATAATGAGTTATATTCTATTCAGCCGAGCAGGGCAATGTGTTCATGCTTTCAGAGAACGGATGGATGCTTCTAGGCCTGTGTCTCCTCTATGAACTCCCCAACATTTATATTCTATTCTGTGTAATGTTTTTCTTTTAACCCCAGTTGTGGTAAATCGGTTGATTTTGTAATTTCTCTTTTGAAAGTGCATTCCCCTATGTCTGAATCCTTTATGTAAGGCTTGGTGTTTTTTTTTTTTTTTTTTTACAGTGTTTGATTCTGTTAAAGGATCTTGAGAGTTGTGGGCAGATCACTCTATTAAAGTGTGAATGGAAAAATGTACTCCTATGAAACGATTCTTTGTAATGGTTCAGTCAAAAAGACCCACAAATCTCCATCTTTATGAGTTTTGAAATAATATGAACCAGTCTAATGTCTCTGTCTATCACTATCATGTCTATCTCAAAATGTATTACCTAAAGCAGTGTTTACCAAAAATAGAAGTTAACATGTTAACATGCAAGAAATTCTCAAAAATAGGGGCGCAGATTTAGAGGTTAAGACGAAGACTTCCTCAAAAGAATCTTTAAAGAGGTCAAGGAACTGAAATGTTTGTATGAAACATTTAGAAAAGTTATTGCGTTATTCAGTAATGAACATGTTTCTTCTGTTTGTTATCTTCAGGACCGTTTGTTCTTTGTTATGGAATATGTGAATGGCGGAGACCTGATGTTCCAGATCCAGCGTTCACGCAAATTCGATGAAGCTCGTTCCCGGTTCTATGCTGCTGAGGTGACCTCAGCCCTCATGTTCCTGCACCAAAATGGGGTCATTTACAGGTAAATTCAATGTATGGCAATTGACTACTGTAAAGGGCCAAAGGTCAAATCACATTCAGCCATTGTTTGGTTCCGACCAGCAAACTCCTTCTGTTTGTCTCACTGATAGACATAGCATCATTGTTAAGTAACCAGAAGAATGGAATGTCTTGAAACCTCTAAGCCAAAATACCATTGTAACACACAAAAGATACATTCCAAATTTAGTGAAATTTTAGCCTGATCATTTTTGGACAGAAAATTAGCCATCCGTTCCAAGTGTTTGCTCAAGTTTAATCCGGAATCAAGATCATTTATTTTCTCAGAGGGCTGTCACGCAATCCTTCACAGATTAGGTCTGAAGCGAATCAAATGCAGACTGTATCACATGAACTGGCTCTGGCATGGTGCGTTGTATCTTTAGGAACTATTTTGCTTAGAGACAGGAGCCCTTGTCTGCCTTGTTTACCTCAGGTTGTTTACTTTGATGAGCTATGTGAAATGATTTATTCGTTCCCAGACAGTTTGTTTACCCTCTCAATTGTGTGTCATTAACCACACACAACGGGCAGTGCTTCTGGGGCTGGAAGGCCAGGCTTTTCTTGGGATCATTTGTATCCATCGCTGGCTTGTTTTCAATGTGTTATCCATCTTTACTGTCAAGAAATATCATAAGTGTGCATGTTGTTTACGTGCAGCTTTATTTTGTAGTGTTGACCTCATGCATAGAATTAATATAATATAATATCAGTGTGAAATCGTATGCATGATGCCAGCAGTACAAAATAAAGCTGTACGTAAACAACATGCAAACCTATGATGTTTTTGGACAGAATGACAAGATGACAAGTTGAATCTGTAAAATGACATATGAATCTGTAATACAGACTCATTTGTCAGTAATACAGACTCAGTTGTCAGTATTACAGACTCATTTGTCAGTAATACAGATTAATTTGTCATTTCACTATAAAATCAAATGCATGATGACAGCAATATAAAATAAATATGCATGTAAACAACATGCAAACCTATGACGTTTTTGAACAAAATGACAAGTTGAATCTGTTAAATCTGCAATACAGATTAATTTGTCATTTCACTGTAAATTTGTATGCATGACAACAGCAGTACAAAATAAAGCTGTATGTAAATAACATGCAAACCTATGGGGCCCTATCTTGCACTTGGCGCAAATGACTTTGTACACTGACGCATGTATCATTCCTATTTTGCACCCGCGCAAAGCGGGCTTTTCCCTCCACAGACACACGTCGGTTTACTAAGAAATACACTTGCGCTCCCCGGGGCGGTTCAGCGCAAAGAGGAGGCGTGTTCCGGCGCAAACTTTCCCTCATGCTATTTTGCTGTTCTATAAAACAAATGCGCCACTGACCAGAAAAAACCTAGTCTAAAGTCAGTAGCGCGTTGCGCGTTGTTCATTGTGCTATTTTAAGGGCGCATGCTTGGCCATAATCAATGTAGTGTGTGCACAACGCGCATACACTTTGATTCTCTCATCTAAGCAGCAGTTTTCATTTTTGCAAATCATACATTATTACGATAGATAGATAGATAGATAGATAGATAGATAGATAGATAGATAGATAGATAGATAGATAGATAGATAGATAGATAGATAGATAGATAGATAGATAGATAGATAGACAATTTAATTATAAAAGCATTCGTAGCTTACACATTTACCCAAATTATCATACACCTGTTTAACAAAAGTTAATTTGGGTGGGTTTCTCCATCCCCAATGTCACTTCTCTGTGTTTTACGGCCCTGACGAGAACGTTGCTCTCCTCGGCTGTGAACCGCTCCTGGCGCGCGCCTGGCAAATCCGCCGTTATAATAGGAATCCGCTTTAGAACAAGCGCGCCTGCTCTTAAAGGGAATGTGAGATGACGCTCTGATTGGTTTATTTCACTTTACGCCCAAACCACACCTATGAATAATGAAGCTACTTCAGACCAACCCCTTTTAGATTTTCGCCAGGCGCAAGAGGCATTTATCCCGCCGGGAAAATAGCAACAGCGCCGGGATCCGCCCACAAAGTTACTTGCGCTTTGCGCTTTGACACTTGCGTTTCAGATCATTAAAATAGGGCCCATGATGTTTTTGGACATTATGATTAGAAAAAGACTAAGATTTAAAAAGTTAAATCTGTAAAATGAATCTGCATTACATTTTCTAGTCATACTGTCCAAAAAATATCATAAGTTTGCATGTTGTTTACATGAAGCTTTATTTTGTATTGGTGTCATGAAATCATGCAACATTGGCATTTCATTATAAAATCATATGCATGATACCAATACAAAATTAAGCTTCACTTAAACAACACTCATACTTATATTTTTTGGACGGTATGACTAGAAAATGTGATGCAGATTCATTTGCAATTTTACAGATTCAATTGTACAGGTTTTGTAGCTGGTTCAATAGAATAATGTCACACAACACTGGGAGCCCAAGTCATCATGACCCCTTCTTCCTTTCGCCCCTCTGGCCCTCACTGAACCCAGTGACCTGTGAGTTTCCTCACCCACCCGTTCTCGGCCTGGTCCTGAGCTCTTTCTGGTCTTGGGCAGGAAGAATCTCATTTGGAGTTTAATGTTGTATTGAATTAAATCAACCTCCTCCCCACACTGGCCTTCCTGAACCCAGACTTTCAGAGACTGAAGGGAAATGGGGAGGTCTTATGAAAGTAGGAGACTTAAGGCCTAGAGGTCAAGCAGAGGTCCGGTGGCTCTAATAACACTGAGTTTATTATTTCTCCCCTTAAAATGTACAATAATCTCTGCTGTTAGCTACTCTAGAGACTCATACACCATGTTTTTGGTATGTTCAACAAAAATAAAATGTAACCATTTGGTCATATGAACTTGGATTATTACAAGGTACAAGAAACCAAAACGTGAAATCCAACATGGAACTCGTCTTTACATGTGCTAAAAAGATTTTTTTATTTATTTTTTTACGAGGTTCATTGCTTATTTAGAGCACCGAAAAATAATAATAAAAAACCCTCTCCATTCACTTCATGAGCAGGATCTATTTAAGAACACTGTGTTGGACGACTGCCATGACATCCATTCATGTCTCTTACCCACCTTCCATTCGTCTGACCCCTTGTTTAGGCTTACAATCGCTGACATGATGTTTATTTGGCAAGAAAGTAGACAGGATGTGATTCGGTCAATATGAATGGCTTATTGTGTGTTATAAGAATAACAGTACACACACATACACCTCAGATCGGCTCAGGCGCCAGTTCCGTTGATTACCTGATGATGACGACTAGACCATGAATCACTGGTCTAGTGCTCCACCCTCAATGAAGGTTATTTTAAGCGCAAAGTATGCTGGGAGATTGATTGATTGGAGCGCTCATGTAATCTGGCTCTGTCTTTGCTCTAGCTCAGCACAGGAAAAAACAAAGGAAACTAAAATTGTACAGGTACTTCATACAGGAGATGAGGATCACAAAATAATATGGTGTACTAGACACCAATGTCTCACTAGGGACATAAAAACATTTCACTCATCTGTCTGTGTGTGTCTGTGTGAACTTTGAATATACTGTAAAAGGGAATTTGTTCAATACTGTGTATAGGGCAGATTGGGGTTAGTTGTCACATTGAGAAACTTGCCACACGTTGTAACTATAAGGAACCCACACTGACATACAGCCAGACAAGATTCAACTGTATAATGAAGGGAGATTTTGGGTGTATTCACACCTGCCTTGTTTGGTTCGATTGAATCGAACTCTAGTTCGTTTCCCCCCTTGGTGCGGACCTTTTGGGCAGGTGTGAATACAGCAATCGAACTCGGGTGCGGACCAAACAACCGAACCGAGACCCAGCTGAAGAGGTGGTCTCGGTACGGTTCCAAACGAACTCTGGTACGGTTCGTTTACGGTGTGAACATGAACCGACCCAATTGTAAGAAAGCACTGGGCCTTTGAGTTAACAGGCTTCCGTAGTCGGGGATTTTGGCATAATGGATTGTGGAATTGTTGTTCAAGTGCGAAAGAGAATTCCATTCCGGCGCGCTGTCTGGCCACACGATACTGTTGCGCGTCTTTCTGCGCGTCGTGTGTGCATCATTGGAATGGAATGAATGAATGAGTGTGTGCATTAGGACATTCACATACAGAGCGTTCTCTTTAGTCTAATCGCGCATAGATGCAAATAAGCTTTTGCAGTTCATATAATGTAACGATAGTTACAATACAAGGATGATGCTGCGCGTTAACATTGACAGCACTTGTTAGCAGTATATACAATACCCAGATAGCATGTAATCATTGAAACAATGTTGACTCAGTGTTGATGCGTCAACGCTAATTGCATTGAATTAACGTTACAAAGTAATGTTGCTTTAGTATCACTCTTGCACCCTCAGTTAATGTTGAAAAAATGTTGGGAATTCAACCAAAAATCAACGGTAATAGTATTGATTCAACATTACAAAGTGATATTTTATCAACATCACTTTTGCACCCTCAGTTAATGTTGAAACTATGTTGAACAAAAAATCAATGGTAATGCTATTGAATCAACGTTACACTATGATTGATTATACATCACTGCTGTTGAATCAATATTGAAATTAACAGAAATACTCAATGGTAATATTGTTGAATCAACGTTACACTATGATGTTGAATCTACATCACTGCTGTTGAATCAGCTCTGAAATTAACAAAAATAATCAATGGTAATATTGTTGAATCAACGTTACACTATGATTGATTCTATATCACTGATGCTGAATCAATATTGAAATTAACAAAAATAATCAATGGTAATATTGTTGAATCAACGTTACACTATGATGTTGAATCTACATCACTGCTGTTGAATTAACACTGAAATTAACAAAAAATAAACTTTGGTATTATGGTTTGATCAATGTTACAATGTGATGTTGATTCTAAATACATTTTGTTGAAAGACTGAAAAGGAATGTCAAACAATGTTGCCATCTGATGTACCAATTAATGT